GAAAGATGTTTACGGATTTTCGTGAATTCGATTCAAATCACACAGTAACTACAGCGGATGGGACTGTGATTCCTGCAGTTGGAATAGGTTCTATTAAAGTTGAATCCAAGGTCAACGAAACTAAAGTCCATATTACTCTTGAAGAAGTCTGGCTAGTACCATCACTCACAAAAAATCTCTTTTCACCGTTGGCGGCACAAGACAGAGCGCAGAACAGTATTTTTACATCAACGACAAAAAAATGCAAGTTGGAAATTGAAGGCATGACTAAAGTCGTTGGCAGGAGGATCCCAAAGGGAGGCCTTTACAAGTTGGACTTTAAAACGGTAATTCCAACAACACCGAGAGCTATACAGGTAAATGCTGTCACCGGTTCCAATATGCTGCAGCTCTATCATGAGCGTTTTGCACATCAGGACAAGCGGCATGTAATACGCGTCGTAAAACGTGAATTAGGCGTGAACCTCAAGCCTGATAATATTAAATGCGAAGGCTGCATATATGGGAAGTCCCAAAGACAGACCTTTGGAACCAGGGAAAGAGCTACTGTATGTGGAGAGCTAATCCATACAGATGTATGCGGTCCTTTTGCACCAAGCGTAACTAAACTCCGGTACTACGTATTGTTCAAGGACGACTACTCAGGCTACCGTATGGTTTACTTTATACGTCAGAAGTCAGAAGTCAAGGACAAGTTGCTGCAGATGCTGAAAGAGGCAAAGAATGCTGGGCATAATGTGAAAACCTTGCTTAGTGACAACGGTGGCGAGTTTGATAATAAGGACGTCAAGAAAATACTACAGGATTTTGGTATACAGCACAGACTGACAATGCCTTACACACCGGAACAGAACGGGTGTAGTGAGCGTGAGAACCGAACCCTGGTAGAGGCCGCGAGAAGTATGATGCATGCAAGGAATGAGTTACCGCTAATTTTGTGGGCGGAATTGATTAATACCGCAGCGTATGTTCTGAATAGAACAGGCCCAAGTCGAGTGACAGACAAAGTTCCATACGAACTATGGCACGGCAAAAAACCTCGAATATCACACCTCAAGGTTATTGGTAGTGAGTGTTATGCACATATTCCAAAGCAGAAGCGTAACAAAATGTCTAAAAAAGCCATGAAAGGCATTCTTATTGGCTATGAAAACGACGATGGATATCGTGTGTGGGACGGACATCAAACATTCAAATCCAGAGACATAACTTTTCAAAGTAATGTTGAATTCACATTACGGTTAGGGTCTGAGGATGCTACTGATACTACTGAGCAAGATGATGATGGAGAGTTTGTCAATGCTGAAGGGGAAGAGAATTTTCCGGCTGAAGGGGAACAGCAACCTCTTGACATAGTTGAACCTCTGAGAGTAGAGGTGCCTCGACTAGAAGGGGAAGAAGAGGAAATTGTAGTCGAGCCCCTGAGAGATGAGCCCCAGAGAGAAGAGGAACCTAGATATAACCTTAGAGACAGGTCAACTCTTGCTCCCCCTAAGAAGTTCGATGACTACGTCTGCTTTGTAGGCACAGAAAACTTTCCAGAGAGCTACCATGAAGCAATAAGTAGAACTGACGGTGCGGAATGGCGGAAAGCCATGGCCAGCGAGCTTCAGTCACTCAAGGAGAATAATGTATGGACACTGTGCGAGCTCCCGTCTAATAGAAAGGCGCTACCATGTAAATGGGTTTTTCGGATTAAACGACACCCAGATGGAAGCATAGACAAATATAAGGCGCGATTGGTCGTTAAAGGGTTCAGACAACGGAAAGGGCTAGATTATGAGGAGACATATAGTCCGGTAGCCAGGATGTCTACCATTAGAGCTCTTTTAAGCGTTACTGCACAAGAGAAACTTCATTTAACACAATTTGACGTCGCGACAGCCTTTTTAAATGGGAAATTAGAGCAGGAAATATACATGTCACAACCTCCTGGCTTTTCTGATGGCTCTTCAAAAGTATGCAGGCTACAGAGGAGTCTATATGGCCTAAAGCAAGCTCCTCGTTGCTGGAACATGTGCATTGAAGACATTCTGTTGCAAAAAGGATTCACACAGAATGAAGCTGATTGTTGTCTCTTTACAAAGACAGAAGGGGGCAATAAGATTTTGTTGGCGTTGTACGTGGATGACGGACTCATGGCCACTACAAGCGAGGCTTTGGCAACTAAATTTTTGAAGGAGCTGGGACAAGCTGTAAAAATCACTAGCAAGCCGGCTTCGTATTACCTTGGCCTTGAAATAGAACGTTCCAAGGATGGATCTATATTTATAAGCCAACAAGCTTATACGCGGAAGATCCTCGAACGCTTCAATATGATTGACTGCAATCCCGTCTCTACACCAATCGAAACGGCGACTTCAGAAACAGGGAAAGCACATGAGAAAAAGTTTCCTTATCGAGAGGCAGTAGGAGCCTTAGCATACCTGATGACAGGGACGCGCCCCGATATCGCGTATGCTGTTGGGGTAGTATCACGGAAGTTGGAAAATCCGACAGAAGCTGATTGGCTGAGAGTCAAGAGGATCTTCAGATACCTTAAAGGAACAATGTCCCATGGCATCAAATACAGTTCGGGTCCTTGCAAAGCTGTAATTCGAGGATATAGTGATGCAGATCACGGTGGTGATGAGCTTAGTGGACGCTCAACCACAGGCGTTATTTGTATGTATGCTGATGGAGTTGTTTCGTGGCTAAGCCAACGTCAAGCATCGGTCGCGATTTCAACAACCGAAGCGGAAATTGTGGCAGCGAGCGAAGGTGCACGAGAACTTGTGTGGCTTCATAGGATCTATGCTCAACTTACAAGTTTGGCGGACATATCAACTTTAAGCGTGGATAATGAAGCAGCCATTCGCCTTGCCCACAATCCTGAATTTCATAAACGGACGAAACACATCCGAATACGTCACTTCTTTGTACGTGAAATTGTGCAAGAAGGTCTATTGAATGTGCAGAAAACTAGCTCCACAGAGCAATTGGCTGACCTTTTGACGAAGGCAGTACCAAGACCCAGGCTCGTTAAACTGAGAGAGGATTTGGGTCTGCAAGATCTTTCCAACTAGTGAGGGAAAGTGTTGAGGTTGCATAGCACTAGTGAAAAGCTCTTTGGTACATTGCTAGGCAACTAACTGTTAGAAAAAATTTAATGTCACTCGTGAATAAAAAGAAGATCATGTCAAATGTGTGCAATATATAAAACTAAATAAATAAACAAATAATTTAAATATTTTGTAACCAAATAAACCTAAATTATCGCTATAAAGTGTCAGTGTTGTCATACTAGAGAAAACCCCTACTATCTAGCCGAAATCTAAAGTGGGAAATACATCGATCACGATTTGGTCTCCGGAGCTTCCAGATTGGTAAGAAAATAAGTAGACCACTTTAATAAATTTTACCGAAATTTAATTATTCAGTATAGATATAATCCTGAAATCATTTCGTTAGAGACAGAGCCTTTTTCAATGTACGGATTGTGGATAACCTGTACCTACTTACAGATTTTTCGGCAGTTACTCGGACCTGACAGAAAATCGAGTGAAAAATGTATGTAAAACTTAAATCGGGTTAAATGCCATACAAAATAGTCATCAAGAGCATCAGATTGCAATCAATTTGCAAGAAATATAATTACATTATCAGATTTAGAGAAATGACACCACAATATCAACGTAATTAAGAACTAATTTAGCGTGCCTAAAGCAGCTAGATTTGAACGACCTACAAAACAATACTCGGAAGTATTACTGCGTCATAATTATGTTTAATTTATGTACAAAAACATTCACTTTACGCGAACACTTAGAGGAAAATCCGTGTTTTTTTTTTAAATAGATGTGTGTAATAATTTTGTGTGTAAACAAAAAATATGTTTTATCATCAGTGGCGGGGCTGCCCCTGTCTAGACACGCGAAGTCAAGGTCTCACACGGCAAAAGTAGATTTGTCTAAGAAAAAAGCCAAAGTCTTGAACTGCATCATCATCAGCCACAGACTATCCACTGCTGAACATAGAAATTTTCCATTGATTTCTGATTCGGAGGATCCTTCTTTTCCGATTTTAGGGATCTTTACTCTGCAACCGTAAACGCGGATGTGCAGACAGTGAGCAAGTGTAGCTCGCCGCCCGACCACGAACGGCGGGTAGCGCGAGCCTCAGAAGCATAGACCACCACAGACAACCCAAGAAGGCCGATGTTCAGCCGGGGTTGCAGGGCAAGTACGATAAGATACCGCGGCCTCGGCCTAGAGTATGAGAAGGAAGGGGGTGGGGTTTTGAGCTAGTAAGAGCCTGACAGTTCCCTATTTTGAGAGGGAAAACCCTAGCAAAAAAGGGAACTCTCTGTTCCATAAACAGTTGCGTTGACTATGAATATACGATTCAAAATCGCTTGAGCAATGAAGTCTGCATGTAGTTGGAAAAATTCGCTGAATTATTAGTAGCGGTGACCTTTATCGTTAAAGTCTGTGATTGAAGGAGGCTAATGAAGCTTCAAAAAATAAAGAATTAAATAAGAATTTCACAATAATAGATAGATAATTGTCTACAATCTTTGTCTTTCACAATTTGTCAATCACAAAAGTAGTCACATATAAGTAAAATGGATTTGAATTGTCACTCCAACAAAAAAAACCCGCCAAGTGCAAGTTGGACTCAAGCACTAAGCGTCCCGAACCATTTTTTTTTTAGAGGGGATAATCATCTAATGACTTCTCCCGCCCAGGGTGGGACAGGAGGGAGTGTCAGACTCTAACTGACTAAAAACCCCCCCGTTCCTTCTCCTGCTCTGGGCCGAGGTGGCGGTGCCTCATGGCGCTTACCCCGCAACCCCGGCTGTTACAGCCAGGACCTGGCAGGCCTGTGGTGAAAGACAGATAGGAGGGGACGGATTAACCAATTCGTTGTAAGTAGTTCAGGAGATTAGCTCGTTTATAAACTCTTCAGCTCTAGTACATTAAAAACTAAGTATTAATAAATAAATTATAATAGCAACATACCTGTAGCTTCAGTTTGTGTGCCTCAATAGGTATGACGTACATGATGGGTAGCTCTGTGACTAGAACCTTAGGGTGGGACCGTCGCAAGCACTTCTCCTCGAGATCCCATCTCGCACCTTCCAAGTACAGGCCTCTTAAGTAGCAACCCTAGAGGACATAGAACATTATGTTAACCGTGTAACTCTGGATGTTTTTTAGGTCGGTAAACGAGCCGACGGATTACCTGATGGTAAGCAATCGGACAGAATTGAACACTAGAGGAGTTACTAGTTACTCTTAGGGATTAGGGTTTCGGTAAATTAGGGATTGGGGAGGGGAGAAGGATTGGGCCTCCGGTAACCTCAGTCATACGGCAAAACATAACGCTGTCATCATTTCACAACTGTTTTGTATAAGCGTGGCTCTCCGTCACTTAATCTTGTTAGAACGACCACGGCAGTACAGTATATAATAAATGCTTAGGCTTTTTTCGGACTATTAATAGACGGTTTATGTTAAATCCGAACAAAATCGGTCGAGCAGTTCTATGTTCGTCACTACATAATTGCGAAAGTTTGTATGTATGGACGAATGTTAGTTACTTAATCTTTGACGTAAAAACTACTGAATGGATTTTGATGCTTAGAGATTGGCCCAGGGATGGATTATAGACTATTTTATGGATTATTTTTATCCGGGTGAAGCCGCTGACAGAAGCTAATAGTAGATGATTATATTCTGTTCAAGTTCAAGGAAATATTACGGATTTTAAGAGTTCTACTTGGAGTCAACATATCTACAAATACCTATGTATATTGTTACCTCATTTTACCCACCACGTGTAAATTAGGTTAATACTTTATAAATTCCAAGTTATTACCATAAATTGCGAATTCAGTATCAATGTCTTATAACTAAATCACCGTAAAGATCATAATGTTACTTCTTTTACAGCAAAATACATGGTTGATTAAAAACGACTTTTACATCTAAATAAAGATAAAAGGTTTACAAACACACGTGTTTTTACTTGCTAAAAATATTGGCTTGAACTGAAAATGTACCGACTGGCCTTGAAACTTTTCAGTTTGTTTAAAATGTTTCAATAGTTGAGGATATGTAATGCTTTTGTAAATGAATACACAATAATCAAAATCCTTCTTTCTTATAAGTATGGTGCAGGTAATTTCATGACACGGCCTTTTATATGAAGGGAAAAATCATCAAATGTCTTATCTCGCCCAGGGTGAGGGTGATTATCACTCGCCCCCGACGTGGGCGGCATAACACTTGCGACTGTCCGAGAGTTGCGGGTGTCTATGGGCTGGCAGATTGGTTGCCATCAGATGATACGTGAGCGTGTTTGCCACCCTATCCTTCCCCTCCCTTAATCCCTAAATACCTAAAAGCTCGACAACGCACTCGTAACTCTTCAATTGTTGTGAGTATCCATGGGCGAAGCTTATTGCTTACTTACCATCAGGTAATACGTCTGCTCGTTTGCCGTCCTATCACATATAAAAAAGCAAAAACAGGGTAAAAATACGTACCGTTACAGGTCTCTCCTCGATTTCGTCAGGGCACACCCAGCCAGTGACCTTGGTGAACTGCGTGGATCGGTCGAGCGGCCAGGTGTAGAGTCGGCACGCGATCTGTATGTGCGCTATGAGGTACGACTCCGGGATGTGGAGCCCTGACAGCCACATCACCACTGGCTCCTCTATCGTTGCCTGCAGTGCGGAGAAGTGTTTAAGGTACAAAAGCACCGTTTTTTAAAGAGAGAAAATTGTCAATTGTCTTCTTTCGCCAAAAGTGAGGCGAGATAGACTAAGAGACTTACTGAAGTAAAGTAAAAGGTCCATGTTCCTTCCGCCCCAGACCAAGACCGCAGTACCCTATTACACTAAAGTACCGTGTTCCCGGTCCAGACCAGGTGAAGGAACGGGGTAGTTTTCAGTCTATAAGTCTGACGGGAGTATCAGACTTATTGACTCACACCTAATCCAGGGCGAGAGTAGTCATTTAATGTCAAAAATCGTCAATTTACAAAGTATTTTGTACGGGTTTGTGAAACATACAATTTCACAAACTTCCAGACTCGAACCACAATTTGTGGATCACACATCACAATAATCACGTGAATTAGCGCAGAAAACCTCTACTATTTTCAAGTCACAACGGACTCTTATTCACGAGCTGCGAGTTCAAATGCTTAACATATGTAACTTTATAATAATAAGGTTTCCTCCATTGATTCACGTGATTACGTAGTTACGTTCCACACAGAGTTTTTTTTTTGCGGGGATAAAACACGTTGCATGGCAGCCGGGTTTTCGAGCCATCACATAACCCTTGTTTTAAAGAACTTGTACCTCATATAATCGGTCACCAACTAGATGGACGGACCTTATAAAAATCAGTGACATCCAGCTCAATAGCGAAGTGCGCAAGAAATGCCAGTAACAGAAAAAAGTTGAGAGTGATATCGCAAGGGCCATATATACCTACCATAATCACGATCACTGAGACAAGAGTGTACGATTAAAACAAACGAATCCTTATATAATAAGAAAATCATACCCAATCAGTGTACTGTTTAGTCCGAGCAATGAAGTGGTCCATCCACCCTCCAAGTCCCTTACAAGTGGCGGGGGCGAGTTCTCTCCAAACTTCGGGTAACTGTCCGTTGAACATGCAATTGGCAACGTTGTCCAGTACCGCATCCATACCTACTTCTCCTGCCAACGCTTTGCGTAGCATTGATAGGGTTGATCGCATCCGAAGGATTAGGCGGTTGAATCTGTATTTTTAAAAGTCTCGTTGAAATATTGTACATATTTATAAAGACTACTCTAATATATTATAAAGTAGTTTCCAACTCATTCAATACTTTTTTGGAAATGTCAAACAAAAATGATATTTTTTATGAATTACTAGATAAGTCGGTACTTTTGAAACTTTAAAATAGATTAATAGTCTGTCAGTCTGTTCGTCAGTAAAGCTCGTTCCAGTGTTGATTCGAATGTAAAAGAACGAGTAAAGAACTCTACTATAGTTAGGTACATAATCCATCATATACAAATTTTTCGTTTTTTTTTTCGGAAATAAGTATCTAAGCTATTTGACGTTTTACATCCATACATATTATGACGTCAAAATTTGGACTTTCATTCAAATTTCATAGAAAACTATCATTTTTGACATTTGGATAGTTGGAAACTATTGTATTCTTTATTCACGAACCTCTCAAGTTCCTGCAATAGGACGACGACGGTGGGCGTTATGTTCATCTCGGACTGTTTGCGCACGCGCCAGATCTCGAACGGCTGCGGCAGCTTGGACAGTACGTCCAAAGCTATGATGTCGATGAAGTCCTCACGACTCAACGCGCCACCACCCTCCCCTGGTAAAAAAAATACAAAAATACTATAAACATAAATTATTATTATTATTTTTACATAATTGAATGTGAATATGTTTATTTATGGTATAAGTCGACAAAGGAGTACACGCATCACCTGATGGTAAGCAACCATCGGCATGGAGCTCTTCAACACCGCAGGAGTTTCAAGTGCGTTGCAAGCTATTTAGGGTGGGAATTTAAAAAGGCTAGGGGAATTGAGGAAGATGCCTTGCAATATACCAGGTAGACAAAATACTATACAAAAGGCATTTCGAAATAACAAAAAAGTCAACGTCACGCGGTATTCCCAGGCGGTCACCCATCCAAGTACTAATTCGGTGATCGGACGAGAACCGGTGCTTTCAACATGGAATGGACGTTGACGCGCAAGTTATTGAATTTATTACACGGTTTCATAGATAAACATTTATTAAAATTACTTAAATAAGTCTTTGTCTCACCTTTGACCACACCTAGCAGCGTGTTAAAAGTTGAAGAATTAAAATTATTAAATCATTTACAAATCAACATAATATTTTAAAACAGTAACAAACTTGAATTACAACTTCATACTTACGATCCCAGACAGGAGCTAATAACGCCGCGTGAAAATATTAAAACATAATGAAAATCTTATTTTCTGTAAGTAGCTTTGTATAACCTACTTATTTCAAACTAATTTACTAACATATAAATATAATATGACTATTATATTATATGGTTCTACCTATAAAAGTGCTATTCTGCGTCTATCTTACAATCGCGATGAAACTATACTTATGTATGACAAAATAATTGCACGGGTACCCGACGACCCTGGTGTCAGTCATTTGTTTTGCAACGGCCACGGCGTCGAATGGGTTGTTAATTACCTTTACTTTTCTAAAGTTTTCTCTCGTAAGAACCTTCTCCTTATATTAACGAACATAACAAAAAAGAATTAGCAAAATTAGTCCAGGCGTTATTGAGTTATGCGCTTACCAACACATTTTTCGATTCATTTTTATATTATAGATAGTTATGCTACATCAGGTTCATCGAAAACTTGAATGAAGAAACAGTCGCTAAGGGCTTAAAGAAAGTTAGTACTAACTTGTTTGCGGTTGTAATTCGATGAGATGTCTCCACATCTCCCTCACTGCCTGGCTGAAGTATCCGATCTCAGCGTTAGGGTGTAGACCGAACACGTCCGGTGTATTCGCTAGAGGCTGAGTGTCTATGAATTCTGTAAGAAGGTGGATAGATAAGATACTCTTTAAATAAGTGATATATTTTTTTAATATGATTCCCTCGTTTGGGATTAGTCCCAAACACGATTGTCTAGTTGGACAGGTCTTTTCTTTGATGAGGGAATATCATCAAATAACTGTTCAGGGTAAGGCCAGAGGGAGTGTCAGACTCTTACTGACTAAAAACCACATCTTTAATTCTCCAGCTCCAGGCCGGGTTGCGGTATCTTATTGCGCTTGACCCCGCAACTCAGTTGGACAGATACTACCACATATTAACACAAAATTTACGAAACTTCTCAGTTGCAGTACTCTCGGTAAAAACTGTTCGTCTGAAAGCTGGTGTATAACACGGCTGGGGAATGTCCTGGTCAGCTGTGCGAGTTCCATTCCCAAAGAACAATAACTACTTCAAAGTTTTCAATTTTCAGTCCCTGGTGTGGTGTCCCTGGTGTATATTACCATATACATACTTATAACAGGGTCATACACGACATAAGAAAAAATATAAAGTGGTGTCACATAATGGAGTGGTTTGCTACAACCTATCTTAAACGGACCTTATTAGTCTACTTTTCAAATAAGAACAAAGTTCATACCAATATACTGTTCTTTCTCCCCATCAGGCGGTATGACGTAGTCGAAGAAGCTGTCGTGGTAGAAGTGGAAGGGCTGGAACTTGTCGAAGAGGAAGTCTCCGAGGTACTCCTCCATGTAGGTACTCACGACGCGACGGTCGTAATCGTCTATTACACGGCCACCGTACATCACCTGTAGATTTAAAATAATATTGTAAGAAAAGGGTTATTTGTTAACTAATGCTTGATATTTCTCTGCATGAGGGATTCGTAATGGCCCTTAGGTTTAGTAGAAGCCAGCTTCAGTTATGCTTGAGGCAATGCTTTTAAGTGTGGGAGAGCCATGCTTCAGCACGAATGGGTCGGCTCGACCGGAGTGATACCACGGCCTCACAGAAAACCGGCGTGGAACAACCACAGCGTTGTGTTTCGCCGTGTGAGTGATGTAACCGGATGCCCAATCCTTCCCCTCCCCCAATCCCTAAATCTTCAAATTCCCAATGGCAACACACTCGCTTAACTCCTCTGTTGCGGGTGTCCATGGGCGGCGCTGATTGCTTAGGTAATCCGTCTGTTCGTGTGACGGTCTATTACATAAAAAAATGAGTGATCGGGTGCGACATCTGCTTTCTTAATTATATAATGATAAACTACTAAGGATAACAACTCAATCTTTTTTGTTGAATGGGGAAAGCTATAAACATCTCCCACCCCTGTTGGGGTGAGTGGGAGTGTCTGACAGTACAGTATTACCTTTGCACACGCACACGCTCTACTGGACCCTATCTGTGGTGGTCTATTGGCTCTCAGAGGTGCGCGCGAAATGATACGCCTTACTCTGGGATCTGGTTGTGCTCGGGAGCGCGTTATCCTTGCTCAGCATAAATCGGCGTACTCATTGCTTTAAATTAATTAATCCTACAATTCGAAAATTGCTTGATAAGGCAATCCACTTTTAACATGCTTTTGTGTTAGACCAGACTGAATGGTATTTTTTGCTTCAAAGTTGCCAACGTCCATACCATGTTGAAAGCACCGGTTCTCGTCCGATCACCGAAGTTAAGCAACATCGGGCGCGGTTAGTACTTGGATGGGTGACCGCCTGGGAATACCGCGTGACGTTGACTTTTTTTATTTTATATATTTTTGTAAAGTAAAAAGTCAACGTCACGCGGTGTTCCTTTATATATTTTTATAAAAAATCCTTTATATATTTTTGTAAAGGATTTTATAATGTTTTACTGTTTTTACATTTGTATGTACCCCGTATTCGAGTACCGATAATACGGTAGTTTCCAACTAGTCAAATTCAATACTTTTATCCAAATGTCAAAAACGATACTTGTCTATGAAATTTGTATGAAAAACTGAGGTATGACGTCATAACATCAAATAGCTTACTTATTTCTGAATAATGAGCTAAAAAAATCTAAAACTTAGTGTATCGATCGATCGATGAATAAAAGTATTTTTCAATATTTTATTGTATTAAAACGTCGAATTAATTTATTTTTGACCTAGGACACTACCCAATTCAGAGAGAACTTGTTTGAAACCAAAACTGTGTAAAGCAGGATGGATAGAATTTGAGGGGTGAATGGATACAGAAAAGGGATGAGTAGTTGACTGCACGGTTGGTGCGGTGGCTGGGTAACTGTCTGCTGTGCAACGCGTCGCGGGTTCGACTCCCGCACGGAACAATACTTTCCACAAATTGTTGTTCCGGGCCGGGGTGTAATCTGTATGTGTTATTGTATGTTTGTAACCGCACCCACGATAGAAGAAAATCCTAGTGTGGGGCAACGTTTGTTTTAATGAGAGATGTTGGTGAATTTTTCTAGTTACTCAATTTGAAAAATGTAAATATGTATATAAGTTTGTTTTTTTTATGGTATAGGTCGGCAAACGAGCAGACGGATTACCTGACGGTAAGTAATTAGCGCCACCCGAAATGGAGGAGTTACGAGTGCGTTGCCGACCTTTTACGGATTAGGGTTTTGGAGATTTGGGGATTGGGACGGATCGGGGGAGGGGAAGAATTGGGCCTCCGGTAACCTCACTTACACGGTGAAACACAACGCTGTAGTTGTTTCACGTCGGTATTCCGTGAGGCCGTGGTATCACTCCGGTCGAGCCGATCCATTCGTCCCGAAGCTTAGCTCTCCCACACTGAAATAAATATAATATTTTTGTATATCTAACCTCTCCGAATAGATATTTGAGCGTGGCCCAGGGTATAGGTCCGCCCACCGCGTGGCACCTGTCGAGGTAGCACTGCAGTATCTGCATGCACACCACGAAGTCCGACTCGCTGAAGTCGTACGAAATGTTCCAACCGATCTTGTCGTATTTACGCCGCTCCTGTACAATAAAGATCAGTCTTAATAAGACGATTAATAAAAAAAAAAGTAAGTGTAAGTCCAAATATCGCAAGCTAATCCAAACTAATATTATAAATGCGAAAGTAACTCTGTCTGTCTGTCTGTATTTTCTTCACGCCTAAACTACTGAGCCTATTTATGTAAAATTTGGCACAGACATAGTTTGGAACTTGAGAAAGGACATGTAGTTTTTAAATAAAAAATCTGCAGGAAGTCACTATTCCACGCGAACAAAGTTGCGGGCAAGAGCTTGTATAATATATAATATTAATATAATCTGGTGGTTTCATAGATATTTTATCTTCCTCAATATATTGAAATATTAATATAATTAATGTAAATACCTACTTTCATTTTGAGATACTTATTTATTTCTAGTCAATCAAACCCCAGGCGAACGCCGGCGTTCACGGGCCTGTTGTTCTTCTAGTTTATCGAATTACCACGATTAAAAGGTTAATATTGGTTTAGCTGTCGCACCTTCTATGGACTGACTCTGTGCCACCATATTTATTTAATACTTATACCCATATTTAAGTTGCCATCTCGTAGAAAAGTTGTTTTTCGACTTATTGGAAACTACCACGGAATGATTTAATCCCAATATATGTATAACGGTGCATACTTTCTAATAAGTAGCAGCGGTTCATCCGTGTTACCGGATATAAATTAGCCTATATGTTATTCAGGATAAAAAAAAATTAAAAGAAATATTTTCTTAAAAAAAAAATTCTGTGGCAATTTTCAAAACATTCAGTAACTTTCGGGTTAATGTAATATTAGTAGGATTTGTGCAAATACTTTACCTGTACGACAGCATGGAAGAATGCGAGCACATAGACCAGCTTCTTGAACTGTGGATGTGTACACTCGTTCAGTGCTTGGGCGCGCATCTTAAAGTATGTGTTGCGAAGATTCAGCTTCAAACCGTTTGGCGGCTCCGTTACCACTAAATACAAATAAGTATTTAGTTATTCATATAATTATTTCATAGATAATATTTTATGTTGCGCTATTATGGATGCCCAAATTTTTTGCGCAAGTATGATTTGTCGTTACCTAATAACAATTGAAAAATAAACAAAATTACAAATTATCTTTTTTAAGATTCGGCAAAAGCCAACGTCACGCGGTGTTCCCAGGCGGTCACCCATTCAAGTACTGACCGCGCCCGATGTCGCTTAACTTCGGTGATCGGACGAGAACCGGTGCTTTCAACATGGTATGGACGTTGACAACTGAACTGTCAAATTTTAGAACCAGTATCGTCTACCCTTAGAAATGAACAATAACCTTATACATATAACTTAATCATATAAACAATCATGCAAATATAATGGTCATATGTATGATCACATTCTGAATCAAGTGTCAAATGTGTATTAGTAACTGGTTCGTAGAAACCTATTTATGTAATTAGATTAATAATGTTACATACCTTTGAGTGACCTCTGCAAGATCCCAATAGGGAATGTAGGTGTTGGATCAGTGGTGAGCCACAATCTATACTCGGGATGTGGCTTCGTCATCAGTTCCAATTGTTTTTCCAACTCGCGGAGGAAAGACACCAATAGGTGACAGTTCTGGAGAATCAGCCATTGCCCGTGCGATATCGCACCTTCTAGCAAGGCTAAGGCCGCCTGGACGTAAAAGAAATATTTGATAGTTCATTTGTTTATTTAATTTATAATGTTACATATTGTCATCAATAAAATGGTAAATTGAATTAATAGGTGCTTGTTTTTAAGGGACAAACTCAACTCATCCTGCCAAAATTGCTACAACTACTGTAAGCCATGATTCCCAGTAGATACAAGCATGAAAACACCGAAACTCTGAAGTCCGGCGCGTCTCAGGGACATTTTTCTTGGATTCCGAAAATAAATAATAATATATTTTTTGAGGAGAAGAAAAGAATTAATAGGTTGTACCTATTAATTCTTTAAACACAATGAAATTAATAATGCTTTAAAAAGTATGTAAGTAAGTGGGAATTTAGGATTTTAAGATTTAGGGCCTTCTATTACCTCATTCATACGACGGACCACAGCGCTGTGATTGTTTCACGCCTATTTAGAATAACTTTGGTAGAGCCTACCCATTGGTGGCAAAGCATTTAAAAATTCTACATTTAATTATATACAGAGATTCTAAATTATCAGATAATATTTGTAACTTTACTATAATGATCACATCTATCCTTTGATAAAAGAAAAAATACAAAACAGCTACTATAGAAGAATTATCTCACCCCTTCCTGACCCTGTCCTAGAGACAGGTACTTGAACTTGCCACCGCCAAAGCCGCATCTATCAGCTAGCTTCATCAGGTCGGCCGTAGGATCCGAACCAGGGCTTAGGATGAACACCACCGGAGTGAATGGGGTCGTTTGCTCGAATATCATATCAAGACTGGAAATAAAACATTAATTTGTTACGATATGATTATAATAATACAATACTTGAAGTGTTGGAGAGCCAACCTTCGGCACGAATGGGTCGACTCGACCGAACACGGCCTCACAGAAAACCGGCGTGAAACAACCACGCTGTTTTTCGCCGTGTGAGTGGGGTTACCCGAGACCCAAAATCACCTCCTCCCCGCATCCCGTCCTAATCCTTAAATATCCAAACCCTTAGCCCTAAAATGTCGGCAACGCACTCGTAACACCTTTTGATGTTGCGCGTGTCCTTGGGCAGCGCAAATTGCTTACCATGAAAGAAGAAACAAAGAAAGAAAAACTATTTGTTACGCCACGACATATAACAAGAATACAGGTACACACGCACATAAAGCCCATAGTGCGTCGCAGCGCAAAAGGCTGGATGTGGTATGAGGTAATTCGTTTGCTCGTTGGCCGAACTATACCATAAAAAAAAGTGAATTGCCAGTTTCGTAATCAGCTGTTAAATATTAATTGCATAATGCAGAAAATATCAATTGAATTGCATAGGTAGATAGATGAGCTGATAGAGGTCAAGGTAAAGGAAAATCCCCTCTACGTTTATTTGAGAAGGGGTTTATGCATACGACAATTCAATATTATCACTATCCAATACATACATAAAGTAATAATAATGTGTAAAACATTTTTTTTTTGTTAACTTTCAATGTTGATAATTCCAGACGCAATAGGTGGACGAACCGGGTGTTCGCTTGGGGTTTGATGCTTCTATGTTACGTCAATCAAAGTTCCTTTTTCAAATCGACAAAGAAAGTAGTTAAAACAAGCACTCCTAACGCCATCTAGTTAAAAACTTAGTAACGCACAAGTACCAAGAACAACTTAGCAAAGCTCATTGTGGGCCCACTTGAAGGTTTGATGCGTGAGATGAATTGTTGTTTTTCTAATACATACATAGATAACGCCACTTTTATGACAAGTTTCTATACTTTATTTTGAGGTATGAAAATCTTAATAGTTAATTTACTATGGTAAATTTGTTATTTAAAAACCAAAAAACAAAGCGAAGTATGTACTTGTAGAACACACATAGCAACATTTTATTTGTCAAGTTTCATGATGATACATCGATTAAAAGTGTGTCTTTTAAAATGGATTTCGAAAATGACCCAACAAGTGTATTGGGTCATTCTGTAACGAAACCATATACTTATTCTGTGTGCTCATGAAATTATTCATTGTGATAGTCAACACAAAATATTATAGTTATAGGCATGTAATAAAAAATAGAGAATAAATTTAGGGTTGATTTTTCAATGGTTAGATAAAAGTTACCTGGGGAATACTTATGATGCTGTCCCGTCAGAATATTTCTATAAGACAGTGACAGCAACAATTTTGTTCTTCAGATAACATTTATCTGACTATTGAAAAATCATCCCTTAGTTATAAAAAAATACTGCATAGGAATTAAATGGTGAATTTCAGACACACAACCGTCAACGTCCATACCATGTTGAAAGCACCGGTTCTCGTCCGATCACCGAAGTTAAGCAACATCGGGCGCGGTTAGTACTTGGATGGGTGACCGCCTGGGAATACCGCGTGACGTTGACTTTTTGCAACTATTATTAAGTATATTTTTTAATATCATTTTCAAGTTAAAAATTAATAAGTTTACTGGCAAGAGAGCTAGCAGATTTATAAATCAAATTACTGATCCTATTCCTCCCAACCGTGGGAGACACAATAACAACAAGTAAAAAGCGCGAAGGCCGGTGTTTACTTGGGGTTTGGTGAATTAAATATTGTAGGACAAACCTGATAACAGGTGGTGTGATATACTCCTCGCCCATGGTGACGGTGATGTAGTCAGTGAGGGCGCGGTAGATGCGGTCGACGCGGAAGCAGCGCAGCAACATGAGCATCTCGAACGGCTGCAGCTTGTCGCGGTACCCGCCTGGGATGTCGTTCGCCTCGGGCGTGTCGCTGTCGAACCACTGGAAGACATTCATTGTTATCATGAACAAAATAAGGAACATTGGAGAGGGTGTCTGACACTCCCTCTCGCCTCACCCTGGGCAGGAGAAGCCATTAGATGACTTGCACTCCTCAAAAAAGATCACACAGACGTCCACTTCCATTGCTAAACATAAGCGGATTTGATTGTGACCTGACATGTTAACCCTTGCTGCATGTGCATATGCATGATTGCAAAGGAGTGGGCTTGCATCCTGCAACTAGGCTGGATTTTTGACGCGGAATTAAAACTAAATATTTTTCCTAACATTTAATGTCATGGATTTCCACAAAGTAACGCCTGATTCTATAAATTAGTTCAGTAATTCTCTTAAGATTTATACATCACAGACATGCGGTGAAGGAAAGCCAGAGTGAGATAACCTGGAGGAATAATTCTTAGTAATAAGTCTAATCGGAAATCGTGCATGCAGGGTGATTTATCATTTGCGGTGAGGTGAGAAGAGGCCTTTCGTTCAACGGTGGACACTTTAAGGCTTGATCATGGCGAGGAAAAATCAAACATTATGGTGGGTCGCAATACATATACCAAAAATATATTTATGGCAAAACAAGGACTTTGTGATCACATTGCTCTGATTATACTTACTTCTTGCCAATCGTTAAGTCTTCTACTGATATTGTCAGGCAGGGAACTGAAGGAATCCTGGAAGTCCATGCTCAGCTTCATTACATCTTGCCAACCCTAGAGCAAACATTAAAAGGGTAGAATTCGCTTGGTTTAACAAAAGAAAACTGGAAATATTTGTTTGTAAGTAGATAAAAAGCTGTCGACCAATCAAGAAGTGCAAGTACAGCAAGTTGTTGGAGACAATCAAATTCAGTACCTTACGGCATACAAATCAGGCTGTTCACCCTCATTTCTTTTAATAAATCATGTATTGTGTTTATCTGTGGACGCGATGTTACTAGAGGCCCAATACTCTTACTCTACCTACATCCCTAATCCTCAAATCCTTACCCCTGATAAGTCTGGCAATAAGTTATCTGGTGTTTGGGGTGTGCATGTGACTCCTTACTAGAATAAACCTCGCTCTGATCGTTCAACGTAACTTTACGAGCCATCGTACTTTATTTATAATTTCTTATTGTTGATGACATTGTGACACACTTTTCGTTACTATGAAGATCTTTGTACGTAACATGATTTTGTATATATTTTTAATGTGAATAAATCATTCAATTGTGTCGGTAGTGTTTACATTTCAACTATTCCCTGCAGCCACATCGGAACACACCGTCACCACACAGCATCATAGGTACGAGAGCCAACAGCCCGTACAGTGACAACAAAGATCTTAAGTCGCCATTTTCCATAAAAAAAAAATGTTGATACGTGTGTACCTACCTGTGAAGGTATCCAGGACGCAGGGCACTGTCGTGCGGATTTCTCAATCGAGATGTTCCCCTTGATGAAGAAGTCCAGCTGCATTTGAGAGACTCGGTTTTCACTCTGCTCCAACTTTATGTTCATTTGGAACGAGAATAGTAGCTTGTGGCGCTCGAATATACCTGAAGGAGGTTGAAGTGTTTTAGTCAAGAAACCACGAATTAATTTTTGCAATTGAAATAGGTCATAATAGCACTTTTACATATCATATATGATTATCATTATATGGGCCTCCATGATCCAAGACATTAGGTAGATAAAAGTATTTTACACAGTTGATTGTTTCAAATTTAAATGCTTGAAATGGTAATAGTGTAATGAAGTGAAAACTGTACAAAAACCTTAATCGGAAGCTGATTATTAATTTATGATAAGTAAATAGAAGTAAAAAAGTTTAAACCTGTACATCCGTAGTCATAAACATTCTTGGTGAGCATATCTATAATGTTCTTCAAACGTTTCACCAAGATTACATTCGGCATTGCTTTGCGCAGAGAAAACGAAAACACCTGTAAATAAGAATATTTATTTCTATGACATTACGTATTTCAACCTGGTCGTCGTCAACGTCCATACCATGTTGAAAACACCGGTTCTCGTCCGATCACCGAAGTTAAGCAACATCGGGCGCGGTTAGTACTTGGATGGGTGACCGCCTGGGAATACCGCGTGACGTTGACTTTTTATTTTAAATCAATGTTTTTTTTTCTCTTTTTGTTATTAATGCGAACTTGCGCAAAATGTAAAATGTTTTACGCAATCTGTTTTTATATTGCGCAAACTGCCATTTAATGAATTTTAGAGGGCATAATACTCCATACAAACTAAAAGCCTTATATGAAGTTACTGCGCGTCACATACAACTAACTCCACAAATCACACAAATACAATATAATGTCATGGCTGCACATCAATAGCAGTGCCAGGGCAACTGGCTGCTGAGCAACGCGGGTTCGTTTCCCCCCCGGAACAATATATTGTTGTTTCGGGTCTGAATGGCATATGAATTTGTAATATTGTTACAGGAGAGTGTGGCAACATTCTAAATAAAATCATAAATGTAAACCTTAGAAATTCAACCTGAAAATCAAAAAACAAAACAGTTCGTATATCGTATACATACATCTAAATATGAAGACAGCGAGTACTGATACATGGCATTGACACCGGCCATGTCAGACAGCACAAAGAAGAGAATGGAGCCGCGCTTTGCCACCGGTCGGTATCCATCGCGGAGCGTCTCAATATCCTTCGTTGTTATTGCTGCTAGTTGAAGTTTTTCCATTACCTGAGAATAAAGTTAGGGGAGAAAGTTATAATAAACAATTTTCTGCAAAACTTAACGAGCGTTCATGCAGCGCATTTTCTTAGTAATAACTTGTAACTCCCAATTAATGGAAATAATTGAACGAATTTGAATTCAATTACAAACTCATCCTACTGTACTAATATAATACAAGCTTAAGTTTGTAAGTTTGGATGGACGGATATTTGTAATTCTTTCACGTAAAAACTACTGAATGGATTTTGATGAAACTGCTATTGGCACAGAGATAGATTATAGTCTGGAATAACACAAGCTACTTTTCATCAAATCGAAACACAAAATTGTAGATCATACATCAAAGCCTAAAATCCCTACATAGTATAAAACAAAACCGCTTCTTCTGTCCATATGTATGCTTAAATCTATAAAACTACGCAACGGATTTTGATGCAGTTTTTAACATATAGAGTGATTGAAGAGCAAGATTTTTATGAAAAATAATATCCATCAAAATGTGGTCAGATTTAGTATCAGCACTACACTCGTCCAATCCCCGGAACGGGGACAAAAATAGGATGATAATATTAATAATATTTTTCGTCATACTTACCTCAGCAGCTTTAGCCTTGGTATTCTCCAAGGTATTGACGAGCTCAACGTTATCCAGCATGTTACCGGTAGACGTGGCCAGCTCCCGGAGTAACGAGTCCTCGAGCCCCGACAGTAGACTCTTGTTGGCACTCGTCTCTATGATCAAACTTTCGCGCTGTTCTTCTAAGTCTGATCGCTCGGCACGTACTACTACACTTAAAAGCTGGTCTTCTAGACCCTGGGAAGAGGAGTAAAATTATTAAAAAAAAATGGTTGCAAATCGTTCAAGATTCTTAGGAGATCATGTTTATTAAAAGTGCTCCGAGGATTTATGTGGTTTTATCTCTGCCGCATCTTGTCGCTATATACGCGAGAGCACTTGCATACGCATTAAATAGATGATTGGCAGAAAACGACTGTGCGTTTGTCACGAAACTTTCTGCTAGGCTTGGCAAAACTTTGAAACGAACAGTCGTAAGCGGCAAGTTGAAACGTTTGCCCCTTCTCCTCCTCCCCTAAGCCGTAATCTTCCGAACCCCAAATCATTTAGGATCCTCGGTTTTTGGGTTTTTTGCTTGTCGTTATTGCCCTATAGTATATAATACAAATTGTGTTAATTTGTATATGTAATAATACAAATTAACACAATTTGTATTATTTGTGCTTAGTAAATGTCTCATCTATCTTAAGATCCAAAAGGTCACTCCTCGTTATAGCGAGAGTGTATTGGCAGTGCCGATAGCAAACTATCAAGTAATCCCTCTGTAAAAAAATACAACCTTATTTCAATTGCAAAAAGGAATAAAATCACTTAGCTAACAAACCTGCACAGTAACAGTATAGTTGATAACGACCGCTTTGGAGTAGGTGGCGGGGTTGAACTGTGGATTGGAGAGCTTGGTCGTAAGGTACATGCGGTAGTTGGGGTCATAGTCTACTTCTGTACTGCCTAGCAACACAAACGTGCGACCGCTCTCCGCTGGAATTGGAATTAGAAGATCGATTGTAAAGCACGTATGTGATATTTTTAGTAATAATACAATGTTTTATTCTCCAAATAGTTCAGATGGGTGAGAGTTAGGCTAAGTATGCTACAATGGCGCTCTGTGCTCCTTTAAGTAAAAAACAATGAAGGGATCTTAATGAAATTAGGTCTAACGATAGATATGGCCAAAAGAAGTCTACAGCTGAACAAAGGTCACCCTCGGAATCCACACACTTGCCAATGGCATGATGATACAATTTTAGACTCGATACCATATATTTTATTTAGATTTTTTTTGTTGGATACTAGGACTACTACTAGGTACTAGGATTTTTCTCCTGTGTCGTGAGTGCGTTTACAAATATACACATCACAACACCCCGTAAAACAATTTGTGGAACACAAAATGAGTTGCGCGGGAGCCAGTCGCCCAACAACTGTGCACGGTTGGCGAAACCGTGCAGTAATTTTTGACATCACATTAAATACATTAATGTAAGTTTATGTTTATCACTCACTCTTAATATTCTTCTCTAGTACATTATCAACAACAGGGTCAATGTACTCGTTGACATCTTGGAAAAGCACGGGCATACCGTACTTTATAGCCATCTCCAGTTGACGCAGGAACTGCGGGTCGTTGAATGATAACACCTAGAAAAACATAGACTTTTTTTTTTTTTACTTGCAATAAACCAGTGCTTGACTGCGATCCCACCTGATGTTAAGCAGTGATGCAATCGTTGATGGTAAGGCGCACTAGTTTATTAAGAGCCTATTCACTCTAGCCTTGAAGACACCTAAGTTGTATTCGGACGGAAAGACTGCAGCCGGCAAACTGTTCCAATCCCTCGATGTACGCGGTATAAATGACGAGGCAAAACGCTTAGTCCGGGCCGCAGGTGTCTCAACAACGTAGGGGTGGATATTCGCCGTACGCCGGGATGTCCGAAGGTGAAATTGGGATGGCGGAATCAAATCGTGCAATTCCTGATCACACTCTCCAAAATGTATCCTGTAGAAAACCGCAAGGCTGGCTACTCTGCGCCTGTGCTCGAGACTTTGAATATTGGACCCAACCAAATCTGGATCTCCAATCAGCCTCTTTGCACGCCTTTCCACCGAATCCAAAGCCGCTAGGTGGCATTTCGCAGCACCAGCCCATATGTGGCTGCAGTACTCCACACACGATCGGACCTGAGCTTTATACAACATTAGAAGCTGACTCGGTGTGAAGTACCGTCGGACTTTTGCAAGAACGCCGAGTTTTCTAGCAACTACCTTGGCTCTGGACTCAATGAACCGCCCAAAGTTGAGGTCTGAAGCAATGTCCATTCCCAAGAGCTGAAGGCGGTCGGTGCACTCCAGGGATACATCCCGAAAAGCAGGAGCCAAGGTGAACGGGCTCCTTTTGGCGGTGAATAGACACGCCTGTGTTTTGGTGGCGTTGAATGTTACCAGATTAGTTTTGCCCCACTTTGAAACTACCTGAAGTGAGACATTCGTACGCTCTACCATAGCCTCCCTTTCAGACTGGATTAGCTCCTTACTAGCCCGAGCACTGGGCAGGTATCTCTCTACAACTGTGCTATCATCTGCATACCCAAGGATACCAGGCACTAGCAGATCATTGATGTGGAGCAGGAATAGAGTTGCAGAGTGAACAGACCCCTGAGGAACACCGGCATTAGTCGGCATAGGCTCTGATGAGCATCCATCGATAACAACTCGGAGTGACCGTCCACTCAGGAAGTCTTTTACCCAGTTTATCAGTCCAGGAGAAATGCCGTACGCTGGAAGCTTAGACAAAAGGCCATCGTGCCATACCCTATCGAAGGCCTTCGACACGTCTAAGTGTGTCAGTCCACGACTGGAGTGATTCAACTGCCTTACAAAAAGCTGGCGAGAAACAACTAAATGTTGATTCCATTTTCCCCTCCCCTATCCCTAAATCCCCTAAACGCTGATCATCAAAGCCCGGCAACGCACTCGTAACTGCTCTGGTGTACGTGGGCAGCGCCAATTCCTTAATTTTAACAAATGCTTCGGCTCGTTTACCGTCCTATCAGATAAAGAAAAACCAGAGGCCCAATTCTCTCTCCCCATTCGACATACCAACATTTTAACAACTTCCAAGGCCAGCAACGAAATAGTAAGTCCTTTAGTGTTGCAGATATAATTATGTATATTAATCAACTGGCCTTTTTCTGACTTATTCCTTAAAAAAGGATAAAGTCAAAGTATCAGTTTAACAAACCTTCAGATTATTTTTGGTTTCCTTCTTCTTGATCCAGGACAGGGCTTGTGTTTGAGGATCAATACAGAGAGGGAATCTAGAAGCCCTCGTTGTCAGGATGCCGTTCTGAACCGACAGCTCATCTGGAGGTAGACCCTCGGAGTTCCAACTGAAATAGTCAATTACATATTGATAAAGGACTTATTTAGATGGCTGTTAAAATTAGACGACTTTGTCATATATGGTGATGATATCTTCTTAACTTGGTATTTATTGTTTTTTTTTTTTGTTATTACTAAGTTTAACTTAATAGTTCTAGCAGAAATCAATTTTAAAACAATTTCCACTCTGAAATTAAAATCTTTATGAATGATAAATATGTCCATGTACGTTTCTTGTTGTTAATTTTTTTTACTGTTTTGCGCTATGATGTATAAGGTTTTTTTTTTTTTTTTTGTGAGGGGAAAATCATCAAATGACTTCTCCCGCCCAGGGCCGGGCAGGAGGGAGTGTCAGACTCTTACTGACTAAAAACCCCCCTGTTCCTTCTCCTGCTCTGTGCCGAGGTCGCGGTACCTCATTGCGCTTACCCCGCAACCCCGGCTGAACATCAGCCCTTTAGGGCCCCGTCTGTGGTGGTCTATTGGCTCTTTGAGGCGCGCGCGGAACGCTACGCGCCGTACGCTCGGGCCTGGTTCTGGTCGGGCGGCGAGCTGCCCTTACTCGCTGACCGCAGGCCCGTACTTACGGTGGCCGGAGATCGTCCCTCGATCCCCGACGCCCGTAGTGTCGCCAGTTGCGGCTGCTGGGGCGTGAGGAGGAGGATTGCTCCCTCACGCGGGCCGCCTCTCTCTTTGCGAGCATGACTGCTTCACAAAAGGAGGAGACGGCGTCCCAGTTCCTCTCACTCCGCACCATGGCCTCGACTAAGGCCGGGCGCGAGAGGTCGCCGCCGCCGATCACTTCCCTGAGGATACGGCGGTGCTCAGCCCAGGCAGGGCATACCGCTACCGTATGCTCCACCGATGATGTATAAGGTAAGGTACAAAATAATTGTTAATACAAAATTATTTTTCGAAATTAACACTCCATGTCCAAAAGTAACTTAAACAGTACACTACAATTCAAATACAAAACAAAACTAACCCACTGATTTCGACCTCATTAGTCAAATTCTTCTCAATGGTAAACGGAGTAGTCAACGGGATACCTCGTTCAAGGACATCGCCCAACCAGTCTTCATATATCATGGTCTGCCTGAAGGAGAACGAGAAAGGGCCAGCGTAGCTCAAGAACGAGGCTGACAGAAGGCAGTTGCCGATCAATCTAGATTGTTCCACGTACAACGCTCCTAAGTCTTCGGTCCAACGCTTCTGTTCGCTCGATAGACCAGACATTAGCTTGTCTGCTGCGACTAACCTAGATGAGAGGATTATTTTGTTAGCTTAAAGTGAGTGAGTGAGGTTACCGGAGGCCCAATCCTTCCCCGCCCCCAATCCCTCCTCAATCCCTAAATCTCCAAATCCCTAATCCCTAAAAGGTCGGCAACGCACTCGTAACTCCTCCGTTGCAGGTGTCTTACCATCAGGTAATCCGTCTGCTCGTTTGCCGACCAATTACACGAAAAAAAAGTAATGAGAAGGATTTAGGAAAATATCGTATGTGCGGCATGTCTTATAGATCTGACCTTAAGGTCCGCGGTTTTTACGTCTTTTTGTGGCCGTGACTTTGTTACTGTTACTCACAATGAGCAATGAAATTACTGTTCTTAAGTGATAATTTAATGAATTCCAAATTGAAACAGGCTTAAAAAATAGTCACTAGCGAGAAGACTCCAATAGTAATGTAGCGGGTCTCAATCAACTAAACACACGGCTTTATGGGTTACCAGAGGCTGAGTTCTTCCTTTCCATCCCCAATCTTCAAATCCTAAACAACTTCTAAAAAGCTGCACTTCTATCTCAAGTTGTGGGTGTCGACTGCTTAAAATCAGATCAGGTGAAACGTCACCTCATTTGCTAACCTATTCCATAAAGCTGATTCATAGTTAAACCTTTTTTTGTGAGGAGAAATACATCAAGTGACTTCTCCTATCCAAGTTATAAACTAGTATCAGACTCTTACGGCCTTATTACAAAACAAGGTTTTACTTTAGTCTAGGACTAAACCATTGAGCCAGTTTTTGTATTTCGAAATGAAGGTAGATGACAATGAGATTCAAAATTCAAAACCGGACTTAATGGTTTAAACCTGGACTAAAGATAAATCTTGTTTTGTAATAAGGGGGATTCTGTCTAAAAACCAGCTCCTTGTCCTGTTCTAGGCCGAGGTTGCATCAGTCCTATAGGGTCCCGTCTATAGTGCTCTTTGGAAAGCAACTCACCGTACGCTCGAGTCCTTAACTTAAAAAACTTACCTCCTTACTTAGTAAACTTACCGTCGCATCATAATATCAGTTTCCTCTTGTAATTCCTGTCTCCTCAGCATAGCGGTTTCGTACTTATTATTTAGCCCGTCCAGAGTACGTTGCAACCGATCTATCTCACGGTTCAGTGACGCCAAATAGTTGCAAGCCTCAGTATATTCTTTCTCTAAAGCTTCCACTTTGTCCTTCTTCGGTTTTACTTCTTTGTAAACAGCGCAGTATCCAAGTACAGCTATTACGAATTTTAGCAGGCCGTAGCTGGAAGAAAACAGTATGTAGTAGATGTTGCGATTCTCTTAGTGTTAGAATATAATAATATAATGGACTTGTTAGTAATACCAACAGTCATGTTTTGTCTTGATTTATTTAGACATTAACACATAATAGACTAGCTGACTCGGCAAACTCCGTAGCGCCTCAAATATAAATACCTACATGTTCTGAAACGTTTTAAACCTTCCCTGGACTTTAAAAAATATTTGACGATCAAAATCCAAAACGGACCAGCCGTTCTCAAGTTTTAGATAGACTTACGAATAGCGATTCACTTTAATATGAGGTTTCATTGTTAATAAGGTTAAATATAGTAAGAACTTATAGGTAATTTAACATGCTGCTGCTTTGCATAAGTGATAAATGACTTTCGTCATCGTCAATCAAAAAAGAACTTTTTAGCTTTACACATAAAGATCAAAACGTACCCAGCTTTACTGATCTGCTGCATAGTGTCAAGTTTCTTGCTCTTCTTCATATGTGCCTTGACTGCTTTGACCTGTTGTTGGGTGATGAGGTCGCAGTTCATCTCCTGCAGGTTTCGCAGGAAGTTGGGGTCGGCCATCATGCCTTTAGCTCCCTTCCAACTTATGTCTTTCACACCTCGGATTATCGCTACACATTCGCAGACAGTCTGGAGATAGGAAAGTTGAAATTTTGATCATGTTTAACCTATGTACCTATGTACTTCTTAACCAAAAAAGTGAATAAATATAAATTATAATTGAAAAACGGCAAAATCATATTTACATTATTATAAGTATTTATACTATATGATACGCTAAAGATAAATAAGTTCAGCTCTACGAGAGTGATAAAACGGTACCACAGAAAACTGGCGTGAAAAATTACGGTACGTTCCTCCATATGTGTGTGTGAGGTTATCGAATCCCCTTTTAAGAAGGGAACGCACCAATAACTTCTTTTGGGCACCTACCATCAAAACTAAATCAAAGCTAACCTGCACAGCTTCAGGTGGCGTGGCAAAAGACCTGATCTCAGTGATATCATTCTTGTCAAGATCAGCTAGAGCCAGTCTCGCAGCTTCCAAGGCTGGTAATGCTGCTGACAATACTTCCTCGGCTTCCGCCTTCTCCTCAGATATTACAGCGCTCTGCTCCGTGATTTCCGCTGACTTTATTGAAGCTACCGTTTGTTTGGCTGTAGCTGCGGTTGTAGCTGTAACGAGGGATTTCAGCATATAGATTTTTTGTTTGGAATGTTATAAACACGCTTATTTAAAAGGCCATAAGAGCATTTTTCGCAGTGCATTTCATGATCATCCCCAGCCGATGTATCGCTGGAATATGAGTATCTTCTAAAGAGAGCTTTTAAATAGTCGTCGCTGTTGGTAGACGAATAGGAGCATGCAGATAAAAAGGTGCTCTACTATGCCACCAACAGGAGGATAATTGAAGGATGTGTTGATGTTATGGTGGATGTTATCAGCAAGTCTAAAAATCCCTCGCCAAACTAGGACGAGAACTGGTCAGGAGAGTGTGGCCCAGCCACTGCGCCAACTGGCTGCTGTGTAACGTGTCGCGGGTTCGATTCCCGCACGGAACAACACTTTGTGTGATCCACAAATTGTTGTTTCTGGTCTGGGTGTGTTGTGTATGTGAATTTGTATGTTTGTTAACGCACTCACGATACAGGAGAAAATCCAAGTGGGGCAATGTTTCTTTAAAATAAAAAATTCTTTAATAAATATTGTTTCCCTCAAAATGCGGCACAGGTCAGATTTTAATATTGACAAGGCTGGCAACGCACTTGCAACAGCTTTAGTGTAAAGGTTTGGACGGCGTCGATTGCTTACCATCAGGCGAGCTGTACACTCGTTTGTCGACCAAAAGAAATGCCATAAAAAAGAAGATAAAATAACAACCGACCGATCTGAAAGTAATTTTTTGGATGACATGAAAAAGACCAACCTTTAGAGATCTCTGCAAGCAAAGTCTCGCATTCCTTGGTTTGTTCAGCTACGATAACTTTCTGTACAACTAGCTTGGCGTTCAAGTCCTCGAGCTGAACGTTGGCCTCTTCAATCTTGGCCAAGCCACCTATCAAACGCTCGCACTGAAAAGTCATGAGTCATGAGAAAATTCCTTTTGTTTAAATCGTATATTTTTATCTCACACGAGCCTTTTGCACACAATGCACGTGCCTCTGTTTCATAGATTCTCAACTATTTTATCAATTATCTACTCCATAATTCCTGGCAAACACTTGTAACTCTTTTGATGCTGCAGGAGTCTATACACTAATTCGATTGCTTACCATTAGACCATGTGCCGGCTCGTCGCCCTATTATCTACATAAAAAACACAACTTTGTCCTATTAGACAATCCCCAGTCCTTCCAGGATTGGGTGCTGTGATATGGACGTAGACTTTTATGTATAGGGTGACTGGTAATTAGTGATCGACATTTGCACAGTAATTTTGCTATACTTATGCCCGGTTTCCGAAAGCCCGATCAATGTTCAAACCAACTTACTAGGTGTCAAATCTCTTTTCAAGTCATCTGATTGGTTGTTGATAATTCAGTCAACCAATCAGATGACTCGACAAGAGATTAAATTGATTTTAACATTGATCGGCCTTTCGGAAACCGGGGTATAGTAATAAAAATAAAATTATGACTACAGAAAAATAGGTTATTTGGAAAAGTTGCTTGTTATCATAAGTAAAATTACGTTTTTCAAAATGACCAGTGACCTGTATAAACTAAAAAGCCAAAAGAATTTAGCTGTGGTGCCGACGATAAACCAAAAATATGGACCTACATACCTGAGCTACAATAAAGGCATCTTTCTCCTTAAGCAACGACAGGTAGTTGGTGAGGAAGTCCATGTAATGTTTGGGCGTGACGTAGTTGTTCCTGCGCAGGCGCAGCAGGAACTCGTTAGAGTAGTGCGCCACGGACATGTGCACGTGGACCACGTGCTCCACTATTATTGGCCGAAACTCTTCGGGGATTTTTGCCACCTGAATGTGGACAAAGGGTTTAAGTACGATACATATTGAACTATCTACAGTATTGTACAACAATCAATCAAAAATTATAAATATTTTGTGCAAAAGGCGGCCTTATCGTGATAACCTTATGGTGGATATTAACAAGTATGACTGGTATTACATTATAATTGATTTATTTATTATAATGTAATGTTATCTTGTCCCAAGGTGGACTTGCCATGGGTATTCTCTACCAGTCAAAGCTATGGGTGATGCAGATTATGGTATGATAATAATTAAACTATTTTTTTTAATAACGAAAAAAAAAACATGTTATGTATGTTATGTCTTTTTGAGAACGAAAAGATTTGAAGTTTAGTTATTAGATCACTTTCAACAATCAGGTCTTTTTCTAACCATAAAAGCAAAAAAGAAGGTCCTTTCGAGTTGTGATAATATCCGTATTATCCCAACTTGCTATTAAAATAACGTTATAACATTTAGGGCTAATTTTTCAATAGTAAAATAAAAGATATCTGGGGAATAATAATTATGATGCCGTTGCGTCGCGACAGAATGTTTGTATAAGACAGTGACAGCAACAATTTTATTCCTCAAATAACATTTACCTGATGAAAAATCAACCCTCAATAATATAAGATCTTAGATAAAAAATGTAAAATACTACTATAAAAAAATATATACTATTTTAAAATACATCGCAAATTAATTAATGAAAGTAGTTAAGCAATAACTAGTGAACTACTAACATCAGCAAGGAATACATTGGCGACGGCTAATAGCGCCTGCTTGGGCCACGGGAACTGCCAGTCAATCGTAGTGTTATTCACTAACCCAGGGAAACTGCGACATCTGTAAGCAAACAAAATTATTATAACATATCATTTTTTTTATGCGATACTAGCTACTCTCGCGCGTTTTCACCTGCTGCTCTATTTAAACGTAGCGTGATGTTTTATAGCCTATAGTACTCAGGAACATTGTAGCTATCTATCAGTGAAAGAATTTTGGAAATCCGATCAGCAGTTCCAAAGATTACCCCCTACATACAAACTTACAAATTTTACCTCTTTATAATATTAGTATAGACGACGGCAAACAAGTAGGCGGATTACCTGATGGTAAGCAATGACCGCCGCACATGGACACTCACAGCAATGGAAGAGTTAACGGGTGTGTCGCCGACCTTATTCGGATAAGGATTAGGAGATTTTGGGATTGGGGGAGGAGAAGGATTGGGCCTTCGGTAATTACACTCACATGGCGAAACACAATGGTTGTTTTACGCTGGATAGTGATCATTTTGACATTACTAATGTAGTTAAAATTATAAGTATAAAATACTACTACTTATTAACTGTACTAGTTTCAACATTTTAATATTTAATTCTGAGCCGATTGTTTAAATTTACAAATTCACATACACAAACGACTCAGGCAGGCAAAACAACAATTTGTGCATCACAAAAACTGCTGTTCCATGCAGACATCGACCGCGACACGTTGCAAAACAGCAAGTTACCCATCCATTACGCTAACCATGCAGTGTGATGAGAAATGTTCTATTCTCGTTTAGGTAATTTGCATAATAAAATAAAACCGGCGTGAAACAACCAAATCCCTAAAATCTTGATAACCCTAACCTCCAAAAGGTTGGCACTCATTAAACGTAATTAAAGTTTATTATTATTACCTGTTCCTCAATATATCACCGCTGGGAGACATGGAGAGGACCACATGAAGATTCTCGGCGCATCTCGTGCAGAAGAAGTTCCATACTGAATCCCTGAAATAACAATAATTATTTCAGTAGATAGTTGCAAAAATGTTACTTTGTCAAAGTAACATACATTTCGGGGTTGCTCGATGCTTGCTTATTTTCGAGCGACAACAGGGTACTTTACCATGAATTCGTTACGAGAAGAAGTTTGACGGAAAGTTAGTGTTACAGTGCGGCCGATGTATCTTGGCGAGTCTGAAGTTAGCCGATTAGCTGCGCAGTACACAATTTTGTTCCTAAAAGATCCATTGCGCAGACAAACGGCTAACTTCAGACTCGCCAAGATACGTCGGCCGCACTGTACACTGTTTTCACATATCTGAACCGAATAAATGATGTAGGTAACTAAGAAATGAATTGTAAAGCTGATTGAAAAAGAGTAACCATGGAGTTTCTTGCTCGTACTTCTCCATAGGAATCTACACTTAGGAACGAACAAATAGCTTCACTAGAGGACAGACGGACAGATTGGCACGCATAAATTAAAACGTATTGAAATATATTTTCTTTTTCTCTTTTGTTTGACGTTCAAAAGTGCCCACTGTGGCCTAATTGAAACAAACGATTTTTGACGTTTGACTTTGACTTTGTTGCCATCTAAAAATAGAAGATACATAAAAAGGAATGCAAACTAGAAAGTACTATAATAAGTACGCAATAAAGTTTAAAATCATACTAACTTTCCCACTCCATATCCTGCTTCAGCACTGGCAGCGCGCACAGTATTGATGATGCCGTCTTTCTCATCGTCATCGAATAACGCGGGAATCATTCCAATCATTAAAATATTGTTGATGAACTCCAAGAAGCCTTCTTCAATGATCTAGACAGTAAAAGTAATCATTATCGTTAACCACAGGTTCAAATCTATCTTTAAATTATTAATATCTATTATAATATTTATTTATAACAACCACAGCGTTGTGTTTCGCAGTGTGAGTGAGGTTACCGGAGGCCCAATCCTTCCCCGCCCCCAATCCCTCCTCAATCCCTAAATCTCCAAATCCCTAATCCCTAAAAGGTCGGCAACGCACTCGTAAATCCTTCGTTGCGGGTGTCAATGGGCGGCGCTGATTGATTACCATCAGGTAATCCGTCTGCTCGTTTGCCGACCAATTAAAACTAAAAAATTAAAAATAAAAAAAAATATTTATCAAATTTTATTTTCGTTCCTTACTCTTTGGCTGACAATTATTAATGTTGTTGATATTTAGAAGTAGGAAAAATTACAATATACCTGTGCAGCAGTGAAGAGGAACACAGTCTTCTTATTTTCACAGCCCAGCGCGTTGTACAGTCTTTTCATATCGTCTTTAAAGGTATTCTCGTTGTAATTGCGTGTTATTACTATCTCGAATATCTCACATCCTGTAGAATAATAAAGAAAAGATTCGTTTGTTTTGATTCAATTAAATAGGCTCTAAAGATACGAGACCGATTTAGAAAAATCTTTCATTGTTGGAAGATACTACATTATCCTTGGTAAATATAGGCTATTAGGCTAAACTACGGGATGAAACCGAAAAGTTTATTAACATTTTCACGGTCAGGGCAAGTATACCTACTCTTTCTTTCTTTCATACACACAAACATACAAAACATCTACCTATTCAATCCACGCAAGAGAAAGATTTGTGTCACTCTCACTTTTTTCAGCTGTGTTGTATGAAAGTCCCGTTTGAAAGAAGGTGCGCTTCTTACCATACACATAGGTACTGGACGCATAACTAAAAACTCTTTTATTATGGACAAGGATGGCAACATGGATCGGCGGATAAAGCATAGATTGGTGATCGGCGTTGTCCATGGAGGTCCGCAATACCACGGGAGTTACAGATACAGATACGTTGCCGGGCTTTTAGTTATTGGCGGTGGAGGGTAAGGATTGAAGCTATTGTCAGCCTTTTTTTGCGGATTGGTCTTTCGTACATTACTCACCAGCAGCAAAAGAAGCGAGCCTACAGATGGATTTCTTCCCGGAGCCTCCGACACCAATGATGAGCGCGTTCCCGCGGTCCATGCGCAGGATGCGGTGCGTGCGCGTCAAATGTTCCAGACAGTCCTCGAATAATACAACCGACATCTTGCCTACACGTTCATTGTATTCGTCCAGTATCTGAACGAAGATTATACTTATTAAAATCATCAAATGTCTTCTACCGCCCAGGGCCGGGCAGGAGGGAGTGTCAGACTCTTACTGACTAAAAACCCCTCTGTTCTTTCTCCTGCTCTGTGCCGAGGTCGCAGTGCCTCATTGCGCTTACCCCGCAACACCGGCTGATCATCAGCCCTATAGGGCCCCGTATGTGGTGGTCTATTGGCTCTATGAGGCGTGCGCGGAACGCTACGCGCCGTACGCTCGGGTCTGGTTCTGGTCGGGCGGCGAGCTACCCTTACTCGCCGTCCGCAGACCCGCGCTTACGGTGGCCGGAGATCATATTAGGTACTGTTTGAATTTAGAACTATTTTCATTAATGTCACTGCATAGTATAAAACAAAGTCGCTTTCTCTGTCCCTATATCCCTATCTATGCTTAAATCATTTATGCGGTTTTCTTAATAGATAGTGATTGAAAATGAAAGGTTTAAGTATATGTATAATAACATCCGTTAAATAGTGGAGAAATTAAGTATCACAGAACCCTTGCGAAGCCGGGGCGGGTGGCAAAGAACCTTCAGTAAAGGGTGATCTTGAAAATATCACCTTCTGGGTTGGACGAAATTGGAAAAAAATACAAACATCAAATTTTAATCTTAGGAAAGGTGATTAAAATTTAAATATACTAAATTTTAAAAGGGCAAAAGACTGCCTATGTGATTACACGAACATTAAAATTGTCAAATATACATACAGACAGATAAAGTAGAAGATATCTTAGTTATAAATAAAGGTATGATAGTTAAACAGCTTGCCTCTTGAAACAAGAAGTAGACAGCTTCATAGTCGAGCAGATCCTCGTAGTATCTGATCTCCTCCTCATCCAAAGCGTTGCGGTAGTCTCCGAACAAAAGCGGATCGCGGAACACGTACTCTTCCATCTGTAAAACAATAACTGCCTTATTAAAAAACAAGGCGTAAATGTGGGAGAGCCATGCTTCGGCTCGAATGGGTCGGCTCGAACGGAGTGATACCATGGCCACACAGAAAACCGGCGTGAAACAGCCACAGCGTTGTGTTTCGCCGTGTGACGGGGTGTCCTACGTGGGCGACGAACACGACGCGCGACGCGACATAATGCGACGCGGTGCTATACGCGACAAATGTCCTACGTGATTTTGGTCATTACTTCTGGAATCATGGAGAAATACAGTATTGCTTGAAAGTTCATATTTAAAGTACAGACCTTTGGAAACATATCGTAAAGAGCACAGAAAGAAAACAACCATAATACTCTTACAAAGAAACACATTATCAAAAAACCACAAAAATGTTATAGTTCGTGTTGTTGCATCTGGTCGCCCTCAAAACAAGTGCGCGTTACGTCGCGACTCGCCTCAGACTCTCATTTGGCCGTATGTAGGGTATGTCGTTGAGTTGATCGCGTTCGTCGCGTCGCGTCGAGTTCGTCGCTCACGCAGGACACCGCGTGAGAGAAGTTACCTTAGGCCCAATCCTTCCCCTCCCCCAATCCCTTCTCATTCCCAAAATCTCTTAATCCCTAATCCTCAAAAGGTCGCAAACTCACTCGTAATACGTCCTTCGTTGCGGGTGTCCATGGGCGGCGCTGATTGCTTACCATCAGGTAAACCGTTTGTTCGTTTCCCGACCTATCACATTAAAAAAAGGTTTTTGTTTAGTCTAGGTCTAAGCCATTGAGCCAGTTTTTGTTTTTCGAATTGAAGGTAGGTAAGAATAAGATTCAAAATTCAAAATCTGACACAATAGTTTAAACCTAGTCCAAAGGTAAATCTTGTTTTGTAGGGTCGTAAAGGCTCATTGACATGATATTATTTTCTTAAACACACAAGAGGAATATTATCAAATAAATGGAAGGTGTGTCGATATACCATATAATATCGTAGGTATTATTTAGACCATGCAAGTCAAGCTTCCAAGTAGTCAAAACAATACCTTTTGGAGCGTCTGAAACGTGTATTGTCTGTTTGTATGAAGTAGGTTTTACTGTTCTTGTTTTAATCATATAAACTAGTACTTGATTGCAATCCCACCTGATGGTAAGCAGTGATGAAATCGTTGATGGTAAGGCGCACTTGGGCTTTAAGTAATTCAGAAAAGAAAATTTGCTTTGATTGATGACTTCGAGATTTTAAAAGTACTGAATTCTGAAAGTTCTGTAAAGTCTGAGGTTTGAAATCTAAGATATACAATAAATACCCAAAATATGTGTTTACTTACCGTAAGTTCGTGTTCAGGCTCGACCTCTTCTTCTTCTTCTTCGATAATTTCAGGAGCTGCCACCTCAGACTCCGGCTTCTGTTCTGGTATCATGCCGAATTCTGAACAGAGAAATATATGATGACTTCAATATTTCAAAAAAATGGAAATAAATTTAATCCGTCAATTGGATAATAAAAAAAATATTTGCCATGTATTTTTTATTTTGCGTGTGAGAAAGTAAATACATATTTCTATAAAATGAATACTTAATATAAATTTAGGAGGTGGATACATCACCTCAGTATAATTTTGACGACACACAATATTCTATTTTTTTTTTATAAACTTTGCCTACACTCGGTGTTTCTACTGTGTAGTGGATGCATTTACAAACATACAGGGGCCCGAGTCTACTATTTTCAAAGTTTTGTCATTCCTACACGATTCCATTGTAATTTTGCTTAAGTTCGTAATCTGTTAATTCAAAATGGCTGATCATTGGCGTTCGGCGATGTCGTAATAGAATTATAGTACGAGATGTCTTGTAACGAATTATAAGTAAACAATAACTGCACATTCATATTCTAAACGTAAATCGTTGAATAAAGGAACTGGCATTTTTTTATTAATTTACCGTATTATGTCAAATATTCATTTGTCATTATGTACGAGATTACCGTTCTAAAGAATTATTTCAATGAAGTGGCATTGGAAAGTCATAATGACGCTATCATGTTAGTAGATTACCAAACTTGTCAAAATCAACAATTTTGAAACCAATGATCTACTATTCTGACACTATTGTAAAAGCAGACTCGAGGCCCAGTTTCACATACACATCACATCCAGACCTAGAACAATTTTTTGTTTCTTGCAGGATTCGAGCCCGCCACACGCTGCGCGGCAGCCAGCTGCCCAGCCACCGTGGCAACCATGCAGTGTTATCAATATTTTTTTAATATACCGATTTTCTAGGATTAAGTTTGACAAGAAAAAATACGTGACTGATGTTGCAAATTAAGCTACTACAGGAATATTAAAAATAAATTGCATCAAGCCTTAATTATACTTGTATTCTTGTAACAATCTAAAGAAACGCTGCAACATATCGGTTTTGCAAACCATAAAAATTTACACGTGAAGCCAGATGTATGAGCCTTCTTCGACAGAAGTGATACCAAGGCCTTACAGAGACCCGGCGTGAACCAAACACAGAGTAGTGTTTCGCCGTGTGAGTAAGGTTACAGAGGCCCAATTCCTCCCCCACTCCCACATCCTTTACCAATCCTTAAACATCAGAAACACTAATCCCCAAAAAGGCCAGCAACGCACTCGTAACTCCTTTGGTGCTGTAGGTGTCGACGGCGGCACCGATTGCTTACCATCAGGTAATCCGTCTTATCTCGTAAAAATGGCCTGTTGCTTTGATAGTGATGATGATAGCAACATATTTCGTTATATACCGTCAAGTTCTTGTTCCTCCTCAATCTTCAAATCCTCCTCATGCACGACTATCTCCTCGAGGACCACTGGCTCCTCTTCGGGGAAGTACTTCATGACGTGCTCGTGGATATGACCGCGCATCAAGTCATTGTCCTGAATAATAGAGTTTTTTTTTATCTGTACTCTGTTTTGATGTTGTTTAGTTTAGGTGCATACATAGAAGCAGAAATAATACAGAAGGTTAAACATACATTAAAAACGACTTTGATTTTCTTTCTACCGAACATTTTTATCAAGTTACTACAACTGAGTTTAATCTTTATCTAAACTAATATTAATAAAACTGAAAAGTTTGAAATAAATGTTAGGAAAAATGTTTAGTTTTTATTCCGCGACAAAATCCAGGCTTGTTGCAGGATGCAATTCCACTCCTATGCAATCATGCATATGCACATGTAGCAAAGGTAACATGCAAGGAGGCATCCTCAGGATCCTCATCATCTGCATAGGAGTGGGATTACATCCTGCAACAACAACACATTTTGTCGCGGAATAAAAACTAAACATTTTTCCTAACATTTAATGTCACGGACTTCAGCACCGCAACGTAACGCCTGATTCTATAAATTATGAAAAGTTTGATATTTTGAACGCGATAACTTCAGAAACTACTTCGAGTACTGGTAGAACAAGTATTTGGTCCATATATCAAAGAAGACTATTTGGTTATAAAACATTACACGATTAATATTATAATCGACGTCCATTGGCGGCGTTGATCACTTACCATCAGAAGATACTAATTGACTACTATTCCATAAAAAAAAAATCTGAGTCAAGAAGTAGGTGAAATAACACGGGAGTATCTAGTGAGGTATAGATTAAAAACTGACCTGTGTACTAATCAGCCTGTCGCATATAACCCTAGTAAACTCATTTCGCCAGCAGCGGACGACGCAGCGTTTCTCGCTGAAGTAGTTCGGGTGTGTCAGGCACATGCCGGCCGCGATACGAGACAAGTCGCGCAGGTTGAATATGTAGTGGAACTTCGTGGGGGTCGGGGGCAGATCTACTATTATTACCTGTAAGAAAATTTGTTTTTGGACAGTATCAGAGAAGTATGGAGATGAATTTATAGGCAGTATTAGAGTGATACTACATATAACAAGACACAGTCGCTTTTCTTGTCCCCATATCCCTACGTATGCTTAAATCTCTAAAACTATGCAACCGATTTTGATATAGTTTTTCAAAGAGGCAGATTGAATAAAGAAGACTATTTATTATTTATATTATATTATTATTTTATATTTATCCCATAAAGAAATTTTGTATTAGCATTTCACCCAACAGAAGCATAAGGTAGCTGGCTAGTTAAGTATATGCCTGTTTTTAATAAGGGACGTATTCTATTGTCCTTTTAAAAAAAACTTTACTCCAGGCTCGAAATTACTCTTATAATACAATGGGTGAGTTTCAAAACAAATGAACACTTTCACACATAAATACACAAACCTTATACAAATCCAAGGTCATCTGCACGATTTTTTCAACTATGTTCTGTATTTCCTCGGGGAAGACATCGAAATGCCCCTTCAGGATGGAAACGTAGATGTGTCGCAATGTATTCTCCGATGGAAACTGCAGGTTGTACACTGAGAACATTGAGATGAAGCGAGGGTCCACCTATGTGAGAGAAGGTGTATAGGTTACTGTGAAAGGAATTTCAAAACTTTACACTAAACTTTGACTTAACCCTTGAGGTTGACTGGTAGAGAATGCCAAAAAAAATTTGGTCGTTAAGTCCGCCTTTGTATTTCTTTACATAAAGTGTTCAAATAAATAAACTGAGCTAATTGTGGGGCCGTCATGCTCTGGCACGAATGAGGCAGCTCAACCGGAGCGCCATCACGACCTCACAGGAAACTAGGGTGAAAACACTCCAGCATTGTGTTTCGCCATGTGAGTGGGGTTACCATAGGCTCAACGCCTTCTCCTCGCAACCATAACCCTCAAGACAAGGCACCTGTAAGTCCTTAATGGTGTCCATCGGTAGCGCCAATAGTGCTTATCATCAGGAGGACCATCTGCTTATTTGCCGCCCTATCAAATACAAAACTAACATCTCTGAGGAGGTACAAATATAAAGAACGAAGAAGAAGGATGGAGGTTTTAAATTAACATTAATATTTATATTTGGAGTGCCTATCTCCATTTTATCTCAAACTGTACTCCATTTAATTACAGCATTACATACACATTTTAATAAAATAACACAAAATAGGAATATAAATACTGCTCCCATTTTTCATTTAAATCCGGCCTTATCGAGCGCCATTTTATCAGAGGTACTCACCTCTTTGATCTGCCAACATTATGCCGTACTCACATCATTTCTCCCACCACCAGCTTTCCCCATAGCAGCCAGGAACCCTACATCCTTGATGTTCTTCCAGTTAAGGTCCTTGCCACGGTCGTAGAAGCCTTTCCTTTCAAAAAGCAGCTTCAACAGAGCTATGGGCTGCTGCGTACCGTATTTGTCCACCTAGGACGAATGTTTTCATTAATTTATTGCAATCATATGACCTTTTAAGAAATACTATGATAATCAATTATATGTATATACTAGGTATCGGAGAAATGCTGAAAACTTGAAAAAAAACACAATTTTCGCCTAAAAATATATTAAAAAGGTTGGAGGCGCCGGGTATCGATCCCGGTACCTCTCGCATGCTAAGCGAGCGCTCTACCATCTGAGCTACGCCCCCTATATGTACTGTCAGCAAAACAAACCACTCACTGTGCACTTAAAAAATTTCTTAATAAAAAGACATTCACTTTGCCTTGAGAGCAAAAATGTAAAATAATATTTGGAGGCGCCGGGTATCGATCCCGGTACCTCTCGCATGCTAAGCGAGCGCTCTACCATCTGAGCTACGCCCCCCATGTGTGTAACTCCATAATTTTATCTTGCATTCAAACTAAGCAAATATTTGTCACGGTCAGCAAAATTACTCAATACAAAACGTGACCAACAATAAAAGTTAAAGTAACACGTAATTTGTATTGATACAAATATACATCATATGTAGACTCATGCATGGGGATAAGTACAACTACAGAAGGTGGAACATTATCATATTAATGTTCTTGTCCAGGCTAAGGCGAGAGAAAGTGTCAAACTCTTACTGATTTGAAACCACCCCGTTCCGTATCTTGCTCCAGACCGCGACCGCAGTATTGCGCTTACCAAGCAGCCCCGGCTGCACATCGACTCTATAGGGCCTCTGCGGTCTAGAGTACATGAATGCGCCTCAACCATCTATAAATTCTCCGAGCTGGTTGAGGGGCAGGCCCAGTTCTTCCAGTATATGTCTCTTCTCAAAGGTTGTGTTTTAGCGTTGTGTTTCGCCGTGTGAGTGAAGTTACCGGGGGCCCAATCATTCCCCTTCCCCAATCCCTCCCCAGTCCCCTAAATCTTCAAATCCCAAATCCCTAAAGGCAACGCACTCGTAACTCCTCGCCGACCTAAATTTACATACAAAAATACTATTGTTTTTCTTGGACGGCTCATACCGGCAATACCACCAACCATTTCCTTTCAATCAAGCTTACGTCGATCAACAACATGAGCACACTATTTAAACATTATAGTATTTTTGTCAACTTGCTAAGGCCTATGAGAAAGTACAGACTATGTCTACTAATCATCACCATCCTACTAGACAATCTGCTAAACAAAGGCTACGTCCAATGATTTATACACAGATAGTACGATTATACATATATATATATTACAAGAATAAGTCGCAGGAGTAGCGTTCTGAGCACACTTTCACCGCAGTAACTAGATCAACAAAAAATTAATCTTTGTCATTATTATTATTATTGAGTCGATGTGATTAATCTCAAAACCGGTTTATGTGGTACAATTACTCCAATTATTTGCCCTCAAGGTAAAAGTAAATGTCTGTTGAATGAAGGTGAAACTCGATATAAGATAGTTTGTTTTGCTGACTGTACATATCGGGGGCGTAGCTCAGATGGTAGAGCGCTCGCTTAGCATGCGAGAGGTACCGGGATCGATACCCGGCGCCTCCAAATATTATTTTATATTTTTTGGTCAAGGCAAAATGAATGTCTTTTTATTAAGAAATTATTTAAGTGCACAATTAATGGTTTGTTTTGCTGACTGTACACATGGAGGGCGTAGCTCAGATGGTACAGCGCTCGCTTAGCATGCGAGAGGTACCGGGATCGATACCCGGCACCTCCAAACTTTTTATGATTTTTGTCGAGAATACCTATAATTTAATTTTTTGGTTTTTCAAATCCAGAAAGATATTTTTGCCGGTAAAACTGAAAACATGAGAACTAAACAGAGAGAAGCTGATCAGCAGCATCCAGTCAAGATTTTTGATTCCTTCGAAGAACTCTCCTCCCACCTATTCAAGAAGTGCAATGAGACAGTATCAAGATGATTAATGAAAGCTATAATGTCTAATAATATTATCAACGTAACCGTAACGCCTGTGGTACAGATTCAATTCTATACAGGCACCGTAATTTTATTTGCCGAGGTTAATTAAAATATAAGACCTAATGTAAGATATTTATGTACAAACGTAAATAAATAAAATTTGATTGATTGATTGATATTATCAGCCAATCTTTAATTATTATCTTCAAATCGCGCTGTTTCACGGTTCAACCTCACGAATCGAGTTGTGAACTCACACATCGAATTCACAACTCGTTGCCCAAAGCTTGTTGGCACAACTACCTGTTGGTTATACGAATAAGTAGCAAATACACTATAATGGACTACTTACAATGGGCATATTCATGTCATCAATGAAGACCAGCATCTTCTTCCCCACTGGTGGACCGAAAGTATCTTTAGTTCGCTTCTCCACCACCGACTCCAAGTTGCGCTGGACGTCCATCGAAGACGTTCGTGATGAGAAGTTCATTTGTTGGACCAACTGTGAATAGTATTGTTTATTAATCGCTATTTGATTGGTTTCAGGTCGAGTGCTGCGTGTCGAGAAATGTTTAATATGTTAAAGTGTTGGAGAGCTCTACTTAGGCATAAATGAATCGGCTCGACCGAAAGCCTAATCCTTCTCTTCCAACCCTCACCAATCCGTACATTCTCAAAACCCCTTATCCCCAAAAAGCCTGCAACGCCCTTAAAACCCATCTGGTGTGGATTGCTTACCATCAGATAATCTGTCTGCGAGTTTGCCATCAGATTATATAAAAATAACTAGCGGCCCGCGTCTGCTTCGCACGGGTATCCTGTATTCTACAGCTTCCCCTCTACTTTTCAAAAAATTTCGTTCATAATAACCTTTCTGGACAACAACAAACATAATATAAAAGCATTGGTAAAATATGTGTCCAGGCATCGATGAATTTTGGCCTTACCAACACATTTTTTTTATCCCCCTTTTGCAAACATGTTAAGATTTCAAAACTGGAATACAAAACATAAAACGCAAAAAGTCAACGTCACGCGGTGTTCCCAGGCGGTCACCCATCCAAGTACTGACCGCGCCCGATGTTGCTTAACTTCGGTGATCGGACGAGAACCGGTGTTTTCAACATGGTATGGACGTTGACGATAAAATTATAAAATATTACGACCACCTGACTCTCTCTGGCACTCCCAGGGATATAAAATAGGGTAGCTTCCAACTAGTCAAATTCAATACTTTTATTTAAATTTCAAAAACGATAATTTTCTATTAATCTTGTATGAAGTAGCATGTTGTGACGTCATAATATTTTAACGTTAAATAGTATACTTATTTCTCTTAAATTAAAATAAAAATACGAATATCAAGTATAATTATGGTAAAGTAATGAATGAAGGTATGTTTGGTTTTGAGTATTCTTATAGTTTTATACGTTGAAATATGAAATATAAATGAGTCAATTCAGTCTAAATAAAATGCAAGCAAATTTATTTTTTTATAAAACACAATTATAGTTTAGTTTGAGTACATAGGTCAGTGGCAGGGCAACCGCTATAAATTATTCATTGGAGAGAAAGAGATCCTCTTTACTGAGGTTTGAAGTTTGAACCATCAACTAAACGTACCTACAATATTCAAAATTATTAAAAAAAAACACATCATAAAACCGAAGAGCAGGGCTACGATTTCAAAATAATTATTATGCACAGTTATTTAGCTAAATATAGCCAGTGTCAATGTCAAAATTAAATCACCTATGTACAGCTTAGAACAGACGATTTTTTAGGCTACTACACTATTTATTGTTATACACACAAGTAAGTAGTTATACGAGGGCGGGTCAATAAGTCCGTGACTTTTTAAATGAAACACAATTTTTTTGATGAAATATTATTTTATTTTTCAACGTAGTCTCCTTTGAGCTCCATACACTAAGCCCAACGTTTCTCCAATTTTTTTATCCCCTCCGAAAAGTATGATTTGTCGAGGTCTTTAAATTAGGCATTTGTTTGTAAGACGACTTCGTCGTAAGACGCAAATCTCTTTCCACCGAGCCATTTCTTTAAGTTTGGGAACAAGAAGTAATCACACGGGGCTAGATCGGGAGAATAGGCCGGATGAGGGAGCAATTCGTAGCCCAATTCATGGTTTTTTGCCATAGAAACTGCTCATGTGTGCACCCGTGCATTGTCCTGATGGAAAATGACTTTTTTCTTGGCCAAGAGTGGTCGCTTTTCTTTCAATGCTTCATCAAATCGACCCAATAAGTTGCTGTAATATTCACCATTGATTGTTTTTCCTTTTTGAAGGTAGTCAATATGGATAATACCGCGTGAATCTCAAAGTGAGTCGTCATGACTTTATTGGGTGACAACGCCACCTTTGTCTTCTGTGGCGTTGATTCACGCCGAGAAACCCACTGTTTTGACTGCTGTTTGGTCTCCGGTGTATTGTGGTGAATTCACGTTTCGTCCATGGTTACGAAACGGCGCAAAAAATCGTTCATATTGCGATTGAATGCTGCCAAACATTCTGCGAAATTGTCACACGCTTGCGTTAGTGGTCGATTGTGAGCAAACGCGGCACCCATCTTGCGGAAAGCTTTCTCATGCCCAAATTATCGTGTAAAATTTAAACCACTGAGCCATGCGAGATGCCCATGGCTTCTACAATATCTCTCACTTTTAATCGCCGATCGGCTAAAACCATATCGTGGATTTTTTCAACGGTTTCGGTGTGGAGACCTCAAATGGGCGTCCAGAACGTTCGGCATCTTCTGTGCTGGTACGGCCACATCGGAATTCAGTAAACCACTTTTTTTACCATGGAAATGGATGGTGCAGAGTCCCCATAATATCTATCAAGCTTAGCCTTGGTTTGCGTAATGGATTTTTTCCGCAAAAAATAATGCTTAATGAGCGCATGAAATTCACTTTTTTCCATTTTCTTCTCAATCAACGCGGTAGTCTGATATTAACGGCTGTAAAAAACTAAGTAAATGTCACAGCTTGTTGAATTTTCGTCAGGAGTCATCTGATAGATGACTGTTTACGGGAGCAGTGTTGCCATTTCAATTAAGAGGCGGAAAAATAAAAAAGTCACGGACTTATTGACCCACCCTGGTAATTGAAATCTTCTAATTCCCAAGAGGTTTGCAACGCGGTTTGTTAGGTTACGAGTGTTTTTTTATGGAATAGATCGGCAAACGAGCTGACGGATTACCTGATGGTAAGCAATCAGCGCCGCTCATGGACACCCGCAACGGAGGAGTTACGAGTGCGTTGCCGGATTTGGAGATTTAGGGATTGAGGAGGGATTGGAGGTGGGGAAGGGATTGGGCCTCCGGTAACCCCACTCACACGGCGAAACACAACGCTGTGGTTGATTCACGCCGGTTTTCTGTAAGGCCGTGGTATCACACATGGCTCTCCCACACTGACTGAAGTGTCTGAAGGTGATTACTTGTTTATAAACAATAATCAAGGGATCTCCTGTAGCCTTGATTGTTTGATGCCTTGTCCCATAAAAAATATACCTATACTTTGATGTTAATGTTTTGGCTGTGTCTATGTACATCATTTTTTATGTATAACTTATTTATTGACCTTATTTGATGACCACCATGAGTGTTTGAACAAAAAAAAAAAAAAAAATAGGAGATTCTTATTGCACAATTATTTTAAAATTAAACCATGTTCGAGTTGTTGTTGCTGTATTGGGCTTTTATTATAGACATAATATACATGCATCTCTTCTCAAAAATTTATAAATAAAACAACGCTGAATCTACTGTATACCAAAAACCTAACCAACTAAAAGGAACAAAAGCAGGTCTGATTGCAAAAATACACAACGAATGGTTTAGTCAAAGCAATCAAATTACAACACAATAGAAGCAATTAAACTATAAACACTGCACACTGATTGAACTGTTTGTTTAGGTATATTCAAATATTTACATACATAGGTATTTTTATTGATAGAATTCATACCAATACGAATTAATGCGTATGAAGGTTTTGTTTAAGTTTCTAGAGATTCAAGTTTTCAGGTTTTGGGTTAAGGTACGTAGTTAAGTAGGTTGTTGATTGCACGGTTGGCATGGTGGCTTTTTTTTTATTGATTATAGGTTCGCGCTTGACCGCTATCTCACCTGATGGAAAGCGACGATGCGGTCGACGATGGAGCGCGCTTACCTAGAAGTAACCTATTCACTCTTGACTTAAAGATGGATGATGGCTGGGCAACTGGGTGCCGTACAACGTGCCGCGGGTTTGAGGCCCGCACGGAAGCAGTCTGTGTGATCCACAAATTGTTGTTCCTGGTCTGGGTGTGATGTGTTTATGAAATCGTATGTTTATAAACGCATCCACAAAACTGGAGAAAACCCAACAATAGGGCAACAATTAAAAAAAAGTTTACTTTTGCAAAGGGCGGCAAGCAAGCGGATTGTTTATCTGACATATAGCAATCGGCGGTGCCTCTGGAAATTCGCAAACCAGAAAAGTTACAAGTACACTGCCATTTTTTTTAGAAATTGGTCGATTGCGGCTTGAAGATTGAGGATGGGAAGGCAAGGAGGGAGGAGGCTTAGGCCATTTACTCACACAGCAATAAACACAACGCGCGCATGTCTTACGTTGGTATTCTGTAAGGCCGTGGTCTAACTTCGGTCGAGACGGCCCATTTATACCGAAGCATAATTTTCCCAGATAAATGATACAAAGTAAAGAGTGAGATAGCTGTAAGATGTATAATGGGACATGGTATATAACATGCGGAAGTATGTACTAAAAGTAGGTATTTATTTATGAGTAATTATATAGATGATTAATAGTCCATTTTTATATTATCAAACATCTACATAAAATTTACAGATTATACGAAAAAAAAACATAACAATATAAAAAAAATACCTATCACAACAAAACAAAATTGGAGGCGCCGGGTATCGATCCCGGTACCTCTCGCATGCTAAGCGAGCGCTCTACCATCTGAGCTACGCCCCCGATGAAAGTTGTTACTCAAATAGCGACTTACATTGGCGAGAGAATGGAAAGGACCAGTTTTATTTTCGTAACCTCGGTGCGTGTGACATGGTTTTAAAATAGCTGAGTAAGCTTTCGCAATAACTGCTCAGTAGGTATTGTGCGGAACTGACTTTGTTTTAACTGGTACATTTATATTGCGCTTGTTTCATCACCTTTCTTAGTAAGTATAAGTTGTTATAACGAGGCAGATGGCGCTAGTGCCACGAACAACATTAGCTCCGTGTATAAAAATTCTTAAAAATAGTTTATTGAAGTTATAAGTGTTAAAAAGTAGTGTAACAGTTAGATATAACTATGATACAGATGCGATAATGTTATCTAGTGATTATAAAACGAATAACAAAATTTATTCAACCCAAATAGTGAAACGCTTGTATAAACAATAAAAACTACAAAAAACCCTAAAAAATAGTGTTTGTGCTCAAATCTGTGTCTAAAACATCATAGTACTAC